TTACAGAACTTTACCCTACACAGGGCTTTTTGTCTCTTCTCAAGTATGAGACAGATAAAACTCACTAACCCCAGTAATCACCAGTGTGAAATTATTTTCTAGTTACTAAGTATTTAAATGCAGAAAGCCTTGAAAGGTCATCAAGCTCCTTGCCATTAAATACAATAATCATTGGATTCAGCTGTTAGTCTGAAGCAGCTTTCATTCTTCAGTGAATTTCCTACGCAAATGTTCACATTTTAGTAAAAAAGCACAGAAATGCTTGAGATTGTAATTCAAGTTATTTTTATTAGCCCACTGTACTTCAGCATTAGTAGTCATCTGAAGCATTTCAGAAACAAGTTAAAATGATCTTTGAATAGTAGAAATTTAGAATAAGTTGAGTTCAGGAAGTATTTTGCTTTACCTTCTCCAAAAACATACCCTTTTCCTTCAGCAGGACCAGACTCTTTAACTGGTTTTGGTGCAGTTTTTCCTCTCTTTTTCAGATATTCTTTCAGCTTTTCTGCTCGATCCAAGTATTCTGTACATTTTGCTCTAATGCTTTGTTTTGCTTTATCACCCTGTGCTTCATCTGAGAGTTTGAAGATAAACAATTCTTTGTTAACAGCAAAACACATGTGCATCAATCAAAAAACAAGACTAAAGATCTGTCTTCTTTATCTCTTATCAATGTACCTCTCTCAGGGCTCAGGACATAAACAAACATCTCAACTACTTAATTTTCCACTATGCCTTGGAGAGAACTGACCAGAAGGATGTCATATCAAATATTCACCTGAACATTGCCTTGGCTTAAAATTTGACTCTAAGGGATTAAGGACATTAGCACTGGAAGCTTTTCTGTCAGCCTTTCATGCTGCTAGACATTGCCTTAATAACTGCTTTTCTAAAATAGCTAATCAAGAAGCTGCTTGTACTAGGCAATTTTTATTTAGAACCATACTTGATTCTTCCATAGCCTGCTAATTTTAAAAGATAAAGAAACATTACATAAAACATCTGAAAGAACTAAGTGCGTTTCAACAGCCACACTGTTCTCGTGATCACTATTACAGTATTTCAAACCAATGATCAAAATTTAACATGTCAGGTTTTTGAGCTAAGTTTCCAAAAGTCCATTAATATTGTTAAAAGCATAGAAAGTGATATTCTGAGAAAGTCTGTAATATTTAAATGGACAGGAAGTGATAAACACAGATTATCCAAATAATAAAGGACTATAAAGAAAACTATTTTTTTCAAATCATGAAGATCTGTAAGTGTGCCTTTGTCAGGCAAGCAACCCTAGCCCACTTAGATTAGGGCTGTACCCACATTAAGAAAGCCAATTCCTTGCATACAAACACTGAATGTGGCACAAAAAGTACACAGAAGTGTGAAAAGGCATAAAGTAATGAGAACATGGAAACTAAAGAAAAATTACATACAAGTCCATCTCATACATTTTCTCGGCCAAGATAAACAGCAAGACTATGACATTAAGGAGCAAAAAATGTCAGCAGAGAGGCTTTAGAAGGGCAAGCAGCATGAATTAAAGGTGCAAAAAGCACTCTGCAGATACAGCAGACTTCATGTGTAACATGGTTTTCAGCACAACAGAAATACAGGGATCCCTGTACTTATTGTCATATTTCCTCGTGCAGTGGCCAGCTTGAAACACTGCTACAAAAGTCCAGAGGAGAGACAGCAAACACCTGCCTCCTGTCTTAAAAAAACCTAAAACAAAACACAAGTAAAAAACAATCTAATTTCTTACAAGAATGGAGCAAGCACACAACACAGTAAAGGTAAAAGCTGCAAAATATCTGACCTCAGTCAAACTACAATAGCAAGTATCAACTGTTGATGAGAGCAAAATTTAAATACTAATGTCAACATAAGAGACTGCTCTTGTGCAATATGATGACTAAACTCTACTGAATCATCCAACACATCACACTTACATTTAACAACGTGGAGAAAATACTGCACAGCATGTTGGTACAAGCGGAAGGCTTCCTCATAGTTTCCTGCTTTATCTTCTTGTGCTGCCTTGCTAGCAAGGTCTATTGCTTTCTGTAACACAAACAAATCATTAACTGCTGTACAAGAGCATTTTCCGTGATCAGAGACCATTTAAGCTGTTACTGTTCTTTGATGGACAGTTTTTCTGCTCCTTCACATTTATCCCCTCAGAGTTGTATTTCCACCCTTCCATGAACAGCAGGATTTACAAACTGCTGAAATTTACTAGCACACAGAAAAGTGCAAGTGAGAAGGACAAGTTTCTGTGTACTAAGCTGGGACTACTATTTTGTCTATGTAGTCTGCCCTACCAATCTCTTACATTTCTTATGGAAATATTTGGAAATCCATTATAAGGCTTGGGTTTTTTTTTAATCACAGACATCTAAACTTTGAACTATGATACAGTTATGCTGTTTAAGGCATGCTTTAGGGGTGCAATTGACAGTGCTGGGTTAATAGTTGGACTCAATCTTTTCCAGCCTAAACAATTCTAAGATTCTATGACCAATGACATCAGTAAACCCTGTAAACAGCAAAGTCAATATAGGAAGTACTTGATTACAATCACTGAAACTAGCACTATCACTCTTCAAACATTATGCTTGGAGACATCTTCAAAGACCAGTTGCTTAGTTTCTCTAGGAGGATTTAGATTCTTGATATCCTAGTGAGAAATTTCAATTATCACTCCAGTGGGAGAGGAGAAAAAAAACCAAACCCAAACAGATAGAGAACATACCCAAATCTTAAGGACCAAAGAGTTCTATGAGAAGTTAAGAATGGATTTTTACTTTATTTGTTCAGCTAGTTTCAAATAAATCTGACTGAGATCTAAGCCACTGTATTGCACACACTGCTCTATGGATTTATTGTACCACCTCTATTCCATTGCTTGCTTGTTAGTGCTTATTACTTTTCATTACACTTTCCTTCTTGGAATGCCCATACCACTTCCAGACAATTAAAACTGTCATTTTGACCACTGGTAAGTTGAAAGTTGAAAATAAGCAGTCAGCCAGAATTAACCAACACCAACTAAATATTCTATAGTCCCTCACCTATTTTTTCCCATGTGGTTCCCTTTCCTAAGCATTGCTAGTATGCTCAGGATGATTATGTAATGTCAGGGAGCAAGGTTGAGAGTTTGAACTGCAACAAGGAGTTTCCATTAGACACTCCAGTACAGATACTCTTGCCACTACCTACACTCTGATGTGTTTCAGGCAGAAAAAAGCTAGTAAACAACAGCCATGAAAGAAACTGCACAATACAGCATTCTACTGCTTTGTATTGCTGTCTTGGAAGCAAAGATCATCTCAACAGATATATCTGAAATCAAAGGTATATAAAAACAATGAAGCAATCAAACAGACCATAGCTCTGTTGTGGCAAGTGCTGGAGCACTGTAAGCATCTGTTTCTTTGGAACAGAACCAAAGTCTTTCCTTTCTGGAGAGGCTGGGAGCTCAGGAGCAGTTTCCCAGGTATGAATGGACAGCTGCCTCCTGCTGCACATTTTATGCTGACTCCCTTATGCACCTCTGTGCACCATTCAAATCTAGCAACAGAGCAAAAATTAACCTCCCAAACAGTTATTTTCATATCAAAGTTCTTAAGTCCTGTCAGTGACTTTAATTATCACATGACATAGTAACTGTATTGTTGCCCAATATCCAGGGCAATCCCCTGCATCCAACGAAACAAAGACAGTGATACACGTGACATTAATTCCAAAGAATAAATGGCAAAGATCACCTGCTAAAACAGAACCGTGAGAAAACAGGGCACGTTGCAGACCTGCTCTTCTGAAATGGGCAAAAGTCTGCATCACGTATTGCCTGGTTTTGCGATACTCTCTTTTTGTAAACAGCCAAAGACTATTACCTGGCTATTACATTCTCAGCTCTAACACTTCATTACATCAGCTGCATCTTAGCCTGTTACTGTGAAGAACACCACTGCTATCAAACAGAAAACATTATTAGAAACTTGTATGAACTAGGCCATAGATGGTCAGCTCTGAGGCACAAACTGCTTTATCAGGCCATGGGTTTATAGTTTGATGAACATCACCCAAGGAAAGAATGTCATCGTAAAGAGGTGTCATTCTTCTCCTGGTTATTATAAACCCTATAACATCTCCTCTAGCTTTGTCAATGCAAACAACACACTGCCAGTGTAAACACTACATACAAAAATGATCACGGTTCAAACAGCCGAAGAGAAAGAGAAAGAAGGGCTGTTGGGACCGCACTTATTTCACTTCGGGGTTTGTTTTGCCGGCCAGCCGCAGCACCGATGACACCGCCGGAGCCGAGGGTTAACACAAGCGGAACAGCAGAGCAGGCAAAGGCTTCCCACAGCCAGCAGGAGCCTTGCGGCAACACAAGCCAAACCACGCGCCCGGAGCAGAAGCGGCAGCAGCGCTTCCCGGCCGGGCGCTAGGCCTCGCTGCCCGCGTCCGCAGGGTTGGTGCCCCCGGGCCCCCCTTCCCGGGCCCCTCCGCAGAGTCTCAGGCCCGGGGCGATGAGGGCTGACCCGCGGGCTCTGACACCCCGGACCCAAGCCGAGTCCCCCTCGGCGGCGGTGTCCCCGGCCCGCTGAGCAATGGGCGTTCGCGCTCGCTGTGCCCCCGCTCCGCCCGCAGCCCCGGCCCAGGACACCCCCGGCCCGGGACGCTGCCGGCCCCGCTCCTTCCTGGCGCCGCCCCCCGCCCGCCGCCGCTTGCCGGGTCCGCCCCGCGCCGGGCAGGGCAGGGCCGGCGTGGCTGTACCTGCAGGTTGCCGGTGTTGGCCGCCATGGCGGAGCGCCGAGGGGAGGGGAGGCAGCGGCAAGAGAGTGGCGCGGGGAGCGGGCCCGGCCGCCGGTGGCGCAGCGCCCCTGCCCCGCCGCCCGCGGAACCCGAACCGCGGCCTCCGCTGCCGCTTCCGCACCGAGCGCCGAGCGCCGCTTCCGCCTCCGCTTCCGGGCACGCCCCGAGCGCCCGGCCCGCCCCGGCTGCGGGTGCGCCCCGGGCCGCGCTCCCCCGCGGGGGGTTGGGGTTCGGGGGGGACTCTGGGCAGCATCCAGACCGATCCCACCTGGAGCGGGTGACACAGGAACGCACCTAGGCGGGGTTTGGAATCTCTCCACAGGGGAGCCCACGGCCTCCCTGGGCAGCCGCTGCCAGTGCTCTGCCGCCCTCCGCCTAAACTTCTTCTCCATGTTGAGGTGGGGCTACTTTTGGTTCAGTTTATGGCCACTGCTCTCCGTCCTGTGGCTGGGCACCACCAAAAGCTGTGTGGCACCGTCCTCTTGGCACCTGCCTTGGGGATATTGATATGCATTAAATAAGATCCCCTCTCAGTCCTCTTTTCTCCGGATTAAACAGGCCCAAACCTGGTTAATTAACCATGACAGAGTCATGGGCAGGTGTCACTCACCCGTGGGTTAGTGACGAAGATCAGGTGACGGCGACGCTTACGGAGTGGGGAGGAGGAAGTGACTCAACAAACCAGTTCTGAAGGCCAACTTGCTGTATGGATGTAGGGACGTCTGCTAAATTAGTGCCATATCTTCCCCTCTGGTTCATTAATTCCTTTAGGGCAAAAATTACATCTTTTAAACTATAATAAACCCCATTCTTCCAAGTACCTCCAAGTTACCACAGTGCAGATTTGACTTAATAATTCCAGTGTAACTGTTTTGATTTTATTTTGTAATAAAAGTCCTCTGAACCTTTTTGATACAGTACTCTGTGCACAAGGGAAAAATGCACATCCACAGTTCCCCCTGTACCAGGGAAGGTCGTGGTGAATCTCTTTAAGTCACCTGGTTGGCAGTTTATTTTGGTAAGTGTCCTCACGAGTTGGGGATGCTTTGGTTGATATTTAGACGTGGTCAATAATAGGTGTTCTCCTTGGATCGACTGCAAATGTGTAAAGACATGATGTAGGAAAGACTAAGTTATGCAATCAGGTTTTGAGAAATGAGAGGGTAAAGAGAATTTGCCCCTAAAGACAACTGAAATTCGCCAAAGTGAAATGAGAGATGATGATTTCTAAAGGAACCTTAGAGCAGTGTGGTCATCAGGATTCCAGCATAGTATCAATGGTGGGAGGGACTCAAAAAAACTGGGTTAAATATTGTATTTCCATTTCTTTCTTATTCCATCTTCAAAGGATGAGGCAAAACCATCCCTTTCACTCATTCATGGTTGATTATGCGATCATGAAGCCTTTGGGGTACTTTTAACCTCCTTTTTATTTAAAACAGGCTATTTCCTTGGGGTGTAATTTCCTTTTAGGCTTTACCTTCTCATTCGGCTTAGTGAAACTAAGACTATTCTCAGATTCATTCCTGTTGCTAGTAATTCTGTGTCATCTGTAACTGTGATGTTTAATTCTTTAATGTTCTCTTTAGGTTTCAGACCAAGTTCTAAAACAATACATACCTCACAAGAGTGTAAGCATGCTTCTCCAGTCACACTGAACTGGCTTCCAGAAGAAACTGGAAAAAATGACTGGTTTCTGCAAATGTGATTAAAGAAAGTAAATCAGAAAAGGCACCTCTGTCATTTACAGATAACAGGCTACATCTTGCACTCCTTACTTAAGTCTTACTCATACAATATTCCTGCTATAATTTGACTTTTTTGCCTGAGGAAAGACTAGATGAATACTGAGTAATGACATCAAGATTATTTCTGGAGAAGCTAATGAAGTGTCATGTTAGGGGCATTACTTCCATTTGAGGGACAAGTAGAGTCACATTTTATCTAATACTTCCCAGTGCTGAAGTTCCTGTGTTACCATGTTCTAAGAATGACTGTGTACAACCAAATGTAATGAAAATAAAACATATTAAAGGTGTTAATATGGGTACCTACTGGCCTCAGCTAAGGCCATCCCATAACTGCCTGGGGCATTATTGCTCACATTGCTATGGCATTATGTGGCACAGGCACTGATCATCTGTGTTTCCTAAGGCTGAGTCAGCTGTTGTGGAGGATGCTTCCTGCTGCCATGCCTTGGTTTGGAGGGAAGGGGCCCACACTGCTTGTTGCCTGGACACCTTGGGCCAAGAGCAGATGGATACATCAATAAAACAAGTCATGTCTGCAGCACTACCAGGTGTTGTGTCTATGATTCTCCTCGGCTGTGGCAGCTGAGGGGTGGCTGGAGATGACTAATGTTACCTTCAGAGAGAGATTGGCATCAGCTAAATGATGTGAGAGCCATGCAGGTGAGGGAAGTCACTGCCTTAGAGACCTTTACAGTGCAGACAGACAAGGCAAAGAAGGCAGGAAAATATAGCCTCATTTTCCTGTATTTCTCCAGCTGAATGATGAAATCATTCAGCATCATTTCATCTAGGAATTCTTCTAGATGAAGTGATGCTGAGTCTGGTCAGATCAATCTGGCCTGGGTAACAAAGGCTGTCAGTAGCAACACTAGCAAGTAAAATTCAGGTTGTCCCAATTCCACTGCGGCACCTCGATCCAGTCTGGTGTACGCATGGTGAGCTCGTGCACTTGGGACAGGACCTGCAATGCACTCGTGGTGCAGCTGGGTTCCTTCTTTGAACCACGCTGGGCTGAAAAGCAGGAGCACTTCAAGCCACCAGCTGTCTTTGGGAGCCTTTCTACCTGTTCCATAGTGCCTGGCCTGTGGGAGTCCTGCTGCTGTGGTATTCCCAGGTGGATGGCTGCCATACATAACCCCTCTGATAGCACTGAAACCACAGCAGCCTTGAGGAGGAGAGCTGTGTCCTAAGAGCTCTTTTTCCTGAAGCACTCGGTGCTCTGGGTGCAGAGAAGCTGTTGTGCAGCTATGGAGCCTAGGAGGGAAAAAATTAAAACTGTATTCAGGATCAGAAGGACTGACAACAAAATAAAGCCGTGTTATTACATTTATGGCATCAGAGACAAGAATGAGCTTTGGGGCAAGACTTGAAGCATTGGGTTTTGAGGATTTTGTGGTTCTCCAACTCTACCTAGTCTGAGGTGGATGGTGACATTTCCTGCCATAGTACAATAATGGGTGTGGTTGTGCCTACCTGGAAAAGAAAACTTAAATTTGTCCCTTTTGAGCTAAACACTTCATATTTCTTAGTTGTGTTAATTTTCACTCTACTTCTGGTTTAGTTTTTAAACTTGGAAATTCAAAATATGTAAATGCTTGAAGGCACAGTGATTTCAAATCAGGTGTGCATATATACAAAATGTTGTCTTCTGGACTAACTTAGTTTATTCCAGACAATGGAATGACTTAGGATGTATATTTCTGTAGTTTATATTGAGATTAATCCAGCACAACATGAAAATAGTCTATGACAATGATTGCAGGTATAACTCAGGGCACATTTTGAAGCTTTTAATTTGATCTTTTGACAGAGCGTAGAAATAAAAATGTTGCTTATTTTCTTAAGATGTGAAATATACAGTCCATTGCTACTACTATGGTTTTTGAATGACATTTAGCATAGTGAATTTCAGGACTTTTTTTCCTACAGTTACATGAGTACCAGCAGAAATTGTCATGAATAAAAATGAAATCTGAAACAGTATTTTTCTTAACTTTGCATGTGTTATCTTCAAGGGCAATATTTGCCCTCTATGAGCATAAGTCTGGAATTTTCTGAGGTTTTTCTCATCTTGAACTCAGCAGACAGGGACTCTTATGGGCATTCTATACAGAGACCAAGGGCAAACATTTCACCTAGGTCTTTTCTGCATAGCATTCCATTTGTTAGGTCTTGATAGCTTGTTGAGATAGAATGGAATAAAATCTCTTCAATGATGGTTTTTTGTACAGTTGAGCAGATGTGGCCTCAGGGATGTATTGGTTGACTCATTTTCATTTAAAATACACAATTTTGCCAGCTGGAAACTGCCAGCTCTTTTACACATATATGAGTTCAGGGATTTTGTGCTATGCATTGATGAGTTTGGTGCAGCTGCATTTTTTTTTTTAAACGTTTTCATAGTCACAGGACTTAACAGCCTTATATAGCCCTATTCACCTCAGAGATTTTATTGTTAAAAGTTTAAAAAGTGCTCCCCAGCCAATGTTTCATTGAGTTTAGAAATGTTCAGCTTTGGACTGTGCACTTTAGATTGCTTCATACTGCCTTCATTTAAAATTTTGATGACCTGTAGAATCATTGGAACAACTCCTAAGGATATTCTAGATGCTCTCATCAGCTGGGGGTTTGTTTTCATCACTGCCAGATTTTTCAAAAATATAAGCTGTAACCCAAAGAGAAATCATGGGTCTCATAAGATTGGTAGATCAGGTTCTACAACTGTGTTATGAAAGGGTTTGAACCAGCTGGTTGTCACAGCATGTGTTTCACTGTCTTAAAAAAGACACAAATCTGTGAGTTGACCCAGATTTTCTTTCCCTGAGTCTCCCATGCAATAGAAAGTCTGTAGTGTTTACTGTTGCCAGAGTACCAGAAATCTGAATTGTGTTAGGCAGGGTGAAGCATAAAAGCAGTTCTGCTCCAGTAGGACCTTTTTAAAGTATTACCAGACTCCTCTAACAGATGACAGGGGAATAACTTTTGCTATTCCAATATACAGCAGAATAACTGAACCTGGCTGTTGCAAAACAGAGATTCATCTGCATGAGTAAGTTTTAAGACTGATGCGCTGCCTCTGATGCTTCCAGACTTAATTTTCATGCTGAATGGCTTTTCAAAGTGGCTTTTGCCTGTGTGACTGTAGAGAGCAGTGTTTCCAACATAACTGAATGGCTTGTGGCCTGAATTATTAAGGTGATGAAGGGAAAGAGAGCTGGTCTGGGACTAGACTAGCTGTGAGCTACTGCAGTGTAGTCTGCACTAGATTCCTGGGCTAGGATTTCCCTACTGGATCCCTGTTTATTAATCCCTAAGCCTTTTAATTAGATATGGAAAGGAGCAAAAAACTGGATAGAGAGGTTATTTAACTTTCTCTTGATCCAAGCCACTCTTAGCAGAATAATTTTAAGCAGGAAGCTCTTGAAACCAGGCTATTATTCTACCATAACCTGTCTATAGTGCTTCCACATGTACAGTGCTTCCACACCTTTCAATACAATTGTCTCTAGGAAGTCTGTTGCCCTTTTTTTACCCAAAACCCACTGAAGTCAGAAGCCACATTTGCAGTGGACTTTGAATGTTGGCCTCAGACAAATAGGGAAGTATTTGCATTACCACAAGTAATTACATCTTTCCTCATTACATTTTTGTGTTATTAAATTTAATGCCCTACTCTTGTTATATAAATGTTAATGTTATTGTGCTAGTAAGTTTATTAGCTTGTAATATACATGCAGTATCCTCTGAAGTTTTTCCATAGAGCTTAATGGGACCATTAGATCTTAGAAGGACTGAGGAAAATTACTTTTCAGTGGACTACCTATTGCCTGGGTAAATGTAAGTGGGAAAGTAAGAAGGAAGAACTCTATTATCAAGTCCTAGAACTTTCTTTTGTAAAATATTTAACTGAGTCTCACAATTTATGGCATTTTTATACTTTCCCTATCATGGGCTAATAAAATATTCTTTTCTGCATGTTTTGTGGTGCAAGTCTTGCAGTCCTGGGTCAATGGTCATAGGAGCTGAATCAACTGACTGTGGGAATAGCTGTCTCACTTTCATGGGCACTAGGTTTGCATTTTGCATTAGCTGGAGTCTTCTACCATTATTTGTAAATTTTTAAACCATGAGTCAAGATGGGTTTGCAGGTATAACTTCTGTAATTTACTGATCGCACAGACAACGTGCAGGGTGTGTTTCTCTAAGTTGTGCATAAGCATCCACACGGTGTTTTGGTTGCCTTTCACCTGGAGAAGCAAGAATTAACATGTTCTCCCCTTAGCTGCATGCAGAGATAAACAAAGACCTTCATCCTACTCTGAAAACACAAAAGAGGAGTAAATTCAGCCTGTGAAGTCACGCCCATTTCCAGTGAAATATTCAGCAAATATTTATTCTAAGCTTTTATTTTCCTTTAATAAAGTGCATAAATTCAGACTGTGAACCTGCACTAAGCAAGCCTGGGAAAATATGTGCCTTCACCAAGATTAATCACCCAGAGTTAACTACTTGGATTACAGAAGAAAGTGACTCATCTACAGATGACAATGGATAATAAAAACGGGGGGAAAATTCCCTAAGTCTCATTCCCCCTTCCTCTATACTGATAAGGAGGCACCTAAGGGAGTTGTACAAAAAACAGAGCTGGAAGAGAAGCTGTGTCAGTCCAAGTCTGCTACGCTGAGCAATGAAGATCATGTAATTCCTTCCAGAATCTGCTGAATCTTGAGTTAAAACTGGTTTGGTGTGTGAGGGAGGGAGCTGCTTGGTCCCTTTATTTCCTTTGGGAAAGATACGTCAGGTAATTTACCTTATGTCAGTGTGATCTCCTCCCTCTCTAGAGTTTCCACATTGACAAGAACAGTCTTATCCACATACAAGTTTTATTTTGCTATTTGAAGGCAGATTATTCTAATATTGCTCATATGCTCCATTTAGAATTTACTAATGGATTATTATGCTGCCAGTAATTCATAGTAAGGTCTTCCAAAATCTATAATCAAGCACAAAAAATTGTGGATATGTAAGGAAAGCATTCCTAATAGCAGCACTCTTGTGGTTAAGTGATTTCAACTAAAGACTTCAAACATTTGAAAATATCACTAAATAGACAAAAATACTGAGAAAACATAACAATGTGAGTGTGTTTGCATTTTTTCTGGGACAGAAATAGGGCAGGTGATTTTGAATCACAGATTCAGCCTGGTGAAGGAAGCTGATGCAGTAACAATGGGCACTGGTGACAAAGAAAGAAGACTATTATGTTTGTCCCCATGAGATGGCACCCTGAACCAGCAGTGCATGCAGGGATGGGTTCAAAGTTGGGTTTTTTCATGTAAGGAATGGAACACAGGTGTTTTGGTGAGAAGTTATTAATCCAAAACATTGTCTCTCTGCTTTTGTTTCACGGAAGTTGATCTTTCTACAGTTCCAGAGTAATGTGTCAGAGTTTTTAATCTGGTTTACATATATTAATTTCCCCTTGTGTTTCAAGTTCCTAGTTATATTGTGAGGCTATTCCAAGTAGTCAGTCAAATCTGTGTCTTTATTAAGTTGATTTACACTAAGCATAATGCCTGATGCTAAGTGCTGGGAGCAACACCTTTAGGGAAAGTAGTCAAATCTTCAACAACCTTATCTC